GGAGAGGAGAGGAGAGGAGAGGAGAGGAGAGGAGAGGAGAGCTGTAGGGCAAGGCGGAGGAACACGTCGCAGTCAGGAATCGATGATGTTTCTCTTTTTTTTTTCCCAGACAAATATTTCTAAGATAACAAATAGTCCAAGGAGCTATGAGGGAGAGGGAAATTAGCTAGAAATTTTACTATTGATTCTTTTTTATTTATAGATGGTGAATCAATTTCAGGGCTTTTTTTTTTTTTCCTATCTGTGGGGGGAAAAAAAGAGTGTACTGATAGATTTGCAGAAATCATTTGCAGTGGCTGAAAAGCTATTTGTTAAAATGAGAAAGCCTCTCCTTCCTCCACCAGTCCCCTTCTCTCTCTTTAAAGGGGTAATCCATACAATGAGCTAACGAGGGAGTCCTGGCTCCTCTACTGCACCATGTGATGTCTCCCCTTTTAGTGTCAGGCTCAGAAGCCCTTATGCCTACTGCATGTGCTAGTCCTGTTAGCTTGCATTAAGAGAGCCTGATAAATAGCTTCTGGGAGCCAGGCAGGTGCTCCTCAGTGTGCAGTTTATCATCCACTGCATGGCTGGGTTTTTTGCTCTTCTGTCAGATCATTTGAGGAGAGGGGTCATATGAGAAATGGGACTGTCGGGCTGCAAGCATGAAACTTGCTGCAAGAGCTGTCCAACAGGCAGGGACAGTGGTTCTCCATCAAACACTGTTTGGGGTGCAGAAAGACCAGACTTGCCAACAGCTTTATGAGGCAGTGTGAGAGAGGAATGGTGCTGAAAGGGATGAACAAAGAGTGCTGTGTAAGAAACCCCAAGTAAAACCTCAGCACCTCCCCATTACATGGACAGCATGTGAAATCTCTGCTCAAAGCCACTGTCAATAGGCAGCCTTGTCTCCTGCAATGTGTGACTCTCTGAAACATCTGGTCTTGATTCTCAAACTGGAGACAAAAAAAAAAAAAGGTGACCCAGAGTGGAGTCTGCATGTCTCCCAGGGGGTGGAAAGGAGAATGCACTTACAAGTGCTTCTTAACCCATCAGAAGCCTTGGGAAGCAGCTTCTCTTCAGTATTCTGCCAGGAGCTGGGCTGGAATGGTGGTTTGACAGAGAGAAGGTGCCAAGACCCACTAGGAAAGAGAGGGAAAGGATGAATGAGACTGAGGGTGAGAAAGGATCAGTAAAACATGACTGAATGAGCTCCTCGTGGTGTGGGGTGGCCCTGAAGAAGTACTAACCCCAGACACTGTTCTCTAGTGAAAGAAATGTGTTGGTTGTCCCTCTCCTCTTTCCCAGGACAGGAATGACATGATCTAGGAAGAGAGTGAAGCTGATCTGGGTCCCACATCTCAGTGGACCTCCTGGGAGCCACTGGCACATGGTATCCATCCAGTTTGTATTACTGCAGCCAGAAAGAGTGAGCAGGTACGAGTAAGGACAAAAGCTTGGCACTGCATGCCTCTGAAGAAGGACAAGCTACTCAGGATCTGCCAAAACTTGAGCTGAATGCATCTGTGCATTAGCCACCCATTACCCTTAGTTGCTCTCTGACAAGGAATATTTGCTTGAAAGCAAGAAGGGGGTATCCCACTGGAAGGAAAATTATTTAAACCACCAAGCAAAACTGCTATCATCAGTATTTCAAGGTGAGAGGGTTAAACTGTGTACATTTTTGGGGAGAATAAAATGCCTTCATACGATGAATTCCAAGGCATCCAAAAGGCACAGTGCTGGCTCTCTGTCTCCAAAAGCAGAGTAATGAATAGCAGTGGCAGTGTGATAATTAAAATGACTTCTTGGAAATATGGATTAGAAGGTACGTAGAGGGGGGATAAGTTCTCCTTTGAATTAATCTAGTGCTAATTTATGACTATCATTGGGTTTTATAGGATTTTAGTGGAAGACTTTCAAAGTTGGTTTACTGGAGTAAAAATGTTCTGTCCCACGTTCATTCCAAAAGCACTTGCAGAATTCCTCATTATTTATTTTTGGATGTTTCTATATATACATATATATATATAATGAGAGAGTTTCAATGTTTGCTTAGCTGCTAAAAAGCCTACTCTAGAAATATGAATAAAGTTATAAAAGCAGCTGTGGAATGAGTGTGTTGTTTCATTTCCATTTCTTCCTCCTCACAGGCTCCCAGATCATTTCAAAGCCAAGAAGGCTGGATTCTGTTATTCTGTTATCAGCTGTCAGAGGCTCCCTCTGTCAGACTTGCAAAAGTATTTTAATTTAGATTTAATAATGGAATTTTCCTGCAAATCACTGTCTCCACTTCTTACTTGTCTTGTGCACAGGTATCTGCCCCACAGCCTGAAATCTGTAGGTCTTAGGACAGACCAAAAGTAGATTGCTCATCTCTGCCAGAGATGTTGCCTTTCTGCTGAGATATTCTGACCTTTCAGTGGCACAAGAAAGCACAGATTGGAGACAGTTACCCATATGGGGAATGATGACATCCCATTTGTCAAGTCCCATGGTGCTAACCTTCTTCCCATCCTCTCCACCTGCCTAGCAATGCTGTAACGTCCAAACATAAGGTTATCTGCCAAGAGCATCTGCCTTGCTCTTCAGCTGGGCAGCACGCCCATCCTGGAACCCATCCTCCCCATCCTTGTTCCAGAATGTCATGTTCAAACTCTTTGCTCTTGCCTCCCATTTCATTCCTCTTTCAGTTTGTCTCTGGCACCTTCTGGCTGAGCCACAGTTGCCACTCCCCAATTTTTCCATGCTGAGATCCCAATCACATCTCCCCTGAACCCCATAGGCAGTGCTGACTTTATGGTGCTTTCCTCAGAGACCCACAGCTGTTTTCAGGGTTCTCCAATACACTGTGTTTCTTGAAAGCTCTCCCTGAGTTGAGGATGGAAGCCTGAGCCTTTTTTTCATTGAGGGATCTCTGCTAGTTTGCTTGAGGGTTTACACATCCCATTTTTGGGGGGAGACTACCATGGGAGCTCAAAATACAAACGCTTTTGTTCCCAGCCTCTAGTTCCCTTTCCTCTCATGTGAGTGCTGAAGTTCTCCTCCTCCACCTGAGCAGGCAGATCCTGCTTCAAAACCTACTTCTGGCCTGCCATCAGCCTCTTCTTCCTGGAGATGGTCCGTGTCTCACATGTAAGTAATGCATGTGGAACTCCCAACAGTAATTCCTTATTATTCACTTGTGTTAAGACCAAGGTAAGGTGACACCTTACAGGGATTCTGACAGCTTCAGAAGCCAATATGGGTCCAAAACCAGGCTTTTATTTGGACAGAATGGTATTTATTCTTAAGAATAAAGGCACATGTTTATCTGCACACAAGTGGAGGGCTTTTCTAGTGAGGAGACCAGTGGCCCATTGCAAAGCCCTCCCTGCCTCTTCACATTCTCTGCCTGGGGACCTGCAGGGCCCTCCCTTGGAGCAGTAGCAATGTATTAGCCTCCCTTTGTACAGAACTGGGTAATAAATATTAAAATGGTGAAATTAACTTGTTTTCTTTGCATTCTGCTCTCCTGACAAGAAAATCCCACTACAAACCCCTGCACGGGCAGTCCAACTGCACTGAATTAGACCCTGGCTGTGAGGGGATTATATATTCTGATTGGGGCTGAGTTTGCAATTATTCTCTCTGCCACACCAAAGACCTTTACTGCAGAGCTGCAAACCAGTTATAGGAACATGAAATGCTTTGACTTCTTCACTAGGGAAACATTAATCCAATCACAGGTTATGTCCATTGCAGACTATGGCAATATTGTATACAGGAATTCCCAGGAGAAAGTTCTACAAAAATTGGAATCTCTCTATAACCATGTTATGAGATTTACTGGTGTGGATAAAATGGGCAGAGTTAAAATTACCAGGCTGGCTATCTCTAAAAGACAGGTGAAGTCTGCTGGCTATCATTGCTTTGCAATATTACAAATGGAAAAGCCCTGAAGTAATTGAATAACACATCTGCTGAAAAAACCTTGTGAACTGCTATAACCTAAAGATAGACTGCGAGGAAACAATGTCGGTACAGCAGCCAGTTAAAAGGAAAAAGATGCTTTCCTTACCTGGTGCAGGAAGATATCACAAATGCAGGTACAGATTTTCTCTTTGCCTCCTAGATTACGTGTGTTTATGTGTGTGTGCTCTATATATTTATGTGTGTGTGCTCGTGTCTACCTACTTCTTTCTTTGCACATAAAAATAACTTAAACCAGGTTCCTCAGCAGCCAGAGGAATGGTGCTGGATGGCAATGATACATAAGCAGAGCTCATTCCGTTTCTTTTTCCACTGGAGGTTGCTGAAAACAATTGGCATGGCTGGCCCCTTAAAGTCTCTCTGACCTTGTGCAGAAAAAGGATTTCAAAGTACTTTGCAAGAGCTGATGGAGGTTTTCTCTGTGCTTTAGTAGCTGTAGTCAGTGATCTATAACCACAGTTGAACAGCAAAGAGCTCCACAGAGCTGTGTACGGATGGAGCTGCTGTGGCCAGGGGAGGATGGCACAGCCTGGCCACTGCCTCCACATGGCCCTGAGAGTGCAGCCACGTCACCTCCTGGCATGGACACCACAGCCAGAGCAGCAGTGACCCCCCTTTGCCTCGTCCCTTCCCTGGAGGTGAGTGTGCCATGGACCGCGCGTTCGCGGGATGTTGGGATTTCAGGACAGCTCAACGCATCTCCTGCAGCCCTGCCTGCGCGTGGAGGAGCTCCTCTCATCACTCATGTTCCTCCCCATCTGCTCGCTCTGAGCAGAGATCCAAGGGCAGCTGACATGGGTGCACTGCAGCAGCATGGCTGTCAGGGGCTGTCACAGCTGGTCAGTGTGTGGGGTGTGATTTATTTCACATGTCGTGCACCTCTCCATGGCAGAGCAGCACACACGG